TCAAACTTTATTAAACACTGACCAGGATGACAGACATTGGTCAGTTCCATACCAGGGATTCCCAGAGAATAGCTGAGAATTATGTCAGTCAGGTGCTTATAAAGGCAAAACCCATTAGGCTTTTTTTTTTCGAGACAGGGTTTCTCTGCATAGCTTTGCGCCTTTCCTGGAGCTCACTGGTAGCCCAGGCTGGCCTCGAACTCACAGAGATCCGCCTGGCTCTGCCTCCCGAGTGCTGGGATTAAAGGCGTGTGCCACCAACGCCCGGCCCTATTCCACATCTTTATGGCATATAAAACGTGAGACTATGTGACTGTAACGTGAAAACGCTTTTTTTTTTTAATTTTTCTATACAAGGTATGCCATCTGTCACTCTGGATACAAGGCATGTGAGCATAAGGGACATGCAAAGAAGCGTTGTACTTCTGTCTTTCGCAGAAAAGCTGGAAGATGCGTAGTAGTCCCATCTATGAGAAGACATGATGACTGTGATACAAGTTTACAATTAATTGGTTTTTCAACTTCAGGGGGAATTCATCAACAAACTCACACTGGAGAAAAACCTTATGAGTACGAGGAATATGGAAATTCATCTCTCTGTACTGGTTCACTGTGCACCTGTAGTGTGGCTCACAGTATAAGAAAATGTTGTGGATGCAATCAGTGTGGTAAAATTCTCAGTTCTTCAAGTTCTCTTCAAAGATGTGAAAAAACTCATGTGGGAAGAGAATATAATAAATGTGAGTCATCTACTAAAGGCTTTAGCCATTACAGGCATCTCCAAACACATCAAACACTCAATAATGAAGAGGATCTCAGTGAATATTATCAACATGATAAAACCTTTAGTTCTGATTCCTCTTTAAAAGTACACCAAAGAACTCATTTGGAATCTAATCAAAGTTATAAAGCCTCTGAATGTCACAGTCTTCATCAAGTACATAGAATTCAAGCTAAAGAGAAAAAGTATGGATACTCTAAATGTGATAAATCCTTTGAATGTCCCACTAATCTTCAAATACATAATAGAAGTCATACTGGAGAGAAATCTTATGAATGTAATCAATGTGGCAAAGCCTTTGCATATAACAGTCATCTTCTCACTCATCTAAGAAGTCATACTGGAGAGAAACCCTATGAATGTAATCACTGTGGTAAAGCCTTTGCACGGAAGAAGAATCTTCTCTGTCATGAAAGAAGTCATACTGGAGAGAAACCCTATAAATGTAATCAGTGTGGTAAAGCCTTTGCAGAGAAGTATATGCTTCTCAGTCATGAAAGAATTCATACTGGAGAGAAACCCTATAAATGTAGTCAATGTGATAAAGCCTTTTCAAGGAAGAGTAATCTTCTCAACCATGAAAGAATTCATGCTGGAGAGAAACCCTTTGAATGTAATCACTGTGGTAAAGCCTTTGCACAGAAGAGTAATCTTCTCATTCATGAAAGAATTCATACTGGAGAGAGACCCTATGAATGTAATCTATGTGATAGAGCCTATGTATCGAAGAGTAGTCTTCACAGTCATGCAAGAAGTCATAATGGAGAGAGACCCTATGAATGTAAGCAATGTGGTAAAACTTTTGTACAGAAGAATAGTCTTCAAATTCATGAAAGAATTCATACTGGAGAGAAACCCTATGAATGTAATCAATGTGGTAAAGCCTTTGGAGTGAAGAGTAGTCTTCAAATTCATGAAAGAATTCATACTGGAGAGAAACCCTATGAATGTAATCAATGTGGTAAAGCCTTTGTCCAGAAAAGTACTCTTCACAGTCATGAAATAATTCATACTGATAAGAAACCCTATGAATGCAATGAATGTGGTAAAACCTTTGCAGAGAAGAAGAATCTTCTTGGTCATGAAAGAAACCATACTGGAGAGAAACCTTATGAGTGCAATCAATGTGGTAAAGCCTTTGCACTGAAGAAATATCTTCTCAGCCATGAAAGAATTCATAGTGGAGAGAAACCCTATGAATGTAATCAATGTGGTAAAGCATTTGCAACAAAGGGTTATCTTCTTAATCACAAAAGAATTCATACTAAATAGTACCATATGGATGTAATCAATATGGTAATTTAAGATGTGAGCTGCCATGTGAGTGCTAGAAACTGAACTGTGTTTTCTACAAGAGGTACTTGCTGGAGTCCAATTCCATAGAGGTTCAGGTCCCAAAGAGGTAATCAGTTGTCACCAAAAGAAGGAGACTGCCATGATCTGAGCATGAGTCAGCATAGCTGCTGCTTTATTGAAAAAGGAATACAGCTTTTCTATGCTATAACTGAATATTAGTTTAGACTCAAGCAAGATTATAAGCAGACTTAATGATTCCAGGATAAAAGCAGGCATCAACCTTATCACAGCATTTTTCCTGAGACAAAAAGTGATAGTTTCACCAAATATCTAAAGACCTTTCTGGATGTGAGCCCATTGTTTCCTTTCATAGTGTGCGCTTATCCCTGGGACCAGGTGTATCCAGTTACTGCATCTTTAAGTTCTCTATTCTTGGTGTAATCGGGAACAAAATGGGCATTCTTGTGTGAGAGTAGGCATATTTATCATGCTATGTGATTCCATGGTGATGGAGATTTTTCAATAATTTTTTTTTGAAGAGACTGCCTATGTATACATTCACATCCTCTACTGAAGCCTGCAAAAAAATATTTCCCTTAGGCAAAATGCATAAGGAGACTTCATAATATATAATGGGAATTATTAAATAATTTATTAAATAAATTATTAAATAAAGGTAAAGGTACTGGTGAATTAAAAGATCTGCAATGTCAATATGCTCGTACTTGGCCAAACAGCAATGGTCACCGTGCAGTCCACGCCAGGTACTAAACTGCTAAACCATCTCTCGGCCCTTTATATTTCTTTTTAGATTCAGTTTATTCTTGTCTTTGTGAGTGCACATGCATAGTGTAGTTTGAAATCAGATAACAGCCTATGGTACTCAGTCCTTCCTTTCTACCATTTGGATCCTAAGGACCAAACCAGGTCCATCAATATTGGCTGCAAGCACATTTACCTGAGGAAGCATGCCATGATTTCTACTGAGCCCTGATATTTTTTTGCTAATCATTTTTTGTGGGTTTTTTTTTTTTTTGTTTGTTTGTTTGTTTTAAGAACAGTTTTGTGGCATCATTCCCTCTGGGCTATACCTGACCTGACTCCAGATAGTTGGCATATACCTCTAATCCATCTTTTGTTTCTTGGTTACCTTTTGTTTTTCTTGTTGCCCTCTATGTGAATCTTGTCTGAGAGTCTCCCAAGGGTACAAGCCTATGGAAAAACTTAGTTCAGGAAAGCCAGAAAACTGATGAATCGAGGCATTTCCACTTGGCTTTGTATTGTGAGCTTCTTTCAGGTTGTTGAACATATGGAAATCAACTGGCTAAAGTGTAAGTATTGAGAAAATAAAAATGCCCTGAGTGAAGGGAAAGTGCTTCAGTCATGAAAGGCTGGATCCCCCTGCATCTGTGAAAGGTAGATTAATTCTTAAGTGTCTCTGAGTTTTCCTTCAGTGGTCCAATCCCAGGTGTACCCACACACCCTCACCTTGACAATTGGTGTCCAACATGACATTGACCCCTGTTGTGTGGCTTGAAGAAGGACAAATGATCTGCTGAAGAAGGACAGAGGAGCTGACCATCTTAACAGGAAGCGCCCTCAGGGTAAGGGGACTCGAAGATCTGCAGGTCATGGGGAATTTAAACTCCCCATCTCAGGAGCAACAAAATGTATATTTGATAAAAGGCTTATCAAAAGAAAAAGTGGTAACTATACAATTTTTAAAGCTAGAAATAGAATGGTTCCTGAGACAGGAAGTAAATCAGAGAAAAAGACCTTTATCAATAGAGAAAAGGGAAAGAAAGAAAAAAGAAAATCCTTCCCAATAGAGAAGAGGAAAGGAAAGGAAATAAAAGGAAAGTTCGCAATAGAAAAGGGTGAAATGGTTAATCAAGAGAAAAGAAAATTTACATTTTCCCTGTAAAAAGATGAAAAATATTGAAACTAGGCCTAAAGATTAAAAGGCCCCATAAAACAAAAATAAAGAAAAAAGCCTCTTCCCAGTAGAAAGAGAGGAAGAAATAGCTCTTTCCAATATAAGAAATTGAGGATAGCTAAAACTCTGAGCTCTTTCTGCCTGTCAGCTCTTTCACAGATCTGCCTGCCAGCACAGAGTGGTAGCATCCGAATTACAAAAAATCAACAGATGAGGCTTCACTGCTGCAGCCTGAACAAGCACAGCAAGCCCAGAGCTTAGAATTGTGTTGTCTGTTTGCTTAACTTTGGTTTATATGTTGTTGTTTTTTTTTTTTCTCTCAGACCAGGAATAATTCACTATTAAAGATCTGTTCATGGAAAACGTTTTCTGTTTTTCCTTAATGGTGGGAATAACTCATTATTAGTAGTCCCTTCATGGGAGAAAGAGGAAGTTTAAACGGGCCCAACTTCTGGTGAGAACAGTTGTGGTCAGGACATGGAATGCTAAGTTGATGGTGTTTGAATTCCCAGAGATATTAATCATTCAGTGTATAGAGGATGTTCTCTTCTTTTGATTATCTAATAAGTGTTTGGATGAATGTTTGATTTTCATGGTAGATAAACTAAAAGAACAGGATTCGTAATTTTAAGCTATATATTGGATATGCACTTGTCTGTTTATCATTACTGAGAGTTTGGCTCTTTAAGTTTCTTTCTAGAAATTCTTGGTTAAATTCTTTAAAATATTAAAACCTCAAACAGATTGAGTTGTTAGCTTATTTAATAATGTGGTTGTTAGGATAAAAACTCATAGAAAATAATCTCTTACTGATAAAAAGTTTTTAAAATTATTTATCCACTAAACAAAATACAGGTAAATTGTTTGATCCACACTGTTAATTATTGGCAAGTTGCATTAATGTGTTACTTGGGATCTATAAAAAAAGGATCAGTCTTTTTAAGATTTTATAAAAGTACTCCAGACTATTGCCTAAAATTACCTCTTAAAATTCTATAGAGATTGTCTTTAATGCTATTATATATAGCTTGTGTAAAAAAAAAAAAGACTATGCAGACAAAGACTGGTGATAGAATTGGTCAATTATTATTGCTTCCATATCTTAAAGGCAAAGTGGCAACTATATGTAGAACTGGAGGCTTTGGAAGTACTGGAAAAAAAGGTGTGTTGGCAAACAGTCATCAATGATAAAAGGCCTAAATTAAAAGTAAAATTAAATGGGATTGAAATTGAAGGATTATTGGATTCTGATACTGATGTGTCTGTAATTTCAAAAGAATCCTGGGATCTCAACTGTCCTTTACAAGAAATCTCCACTCAATTTGTAGGCATTACAACCTTATATCAAGTAAAAAAGAGTGTAGAGTGGATTAAATGTGTAGGGCCTGAAGGACAAGTTGAAATGTTAAAGCTTTATGTGGCTGATATAGCCATGAATTTGTTACAACAATGGGAAGCTCAAATTAATATTCCTACACTGAAGTAGCTTTTAAAATGATGTTTAAAATCAGGATATATTCCTGGAAAGAGTATTGGGAAGAATTATAAGTGAAAGTCACAGGCTAAGGAATTCATAAACTGTCCTGCTTGTTCTTTTTACAAGTTCCTTTACCTGCAAAAACTCATCCTAAAGGTACACAAAGGAATGGAATTTGGCAAATGGATGTATTCCATGTAGTAGATTTTTGAAAATTAAAATATGTTCATGATATCCTTGACACTTTTTCTGGGTTCCAGTGGGCATCTCCCTTAAGTTCTGAAAAGGCAGATTCTATAATTACACATTACATACATACATACACAAACATACAGCACAAATTAAGACTGATAATGCCCCAGCTTATTTTTCCAGTAATATAAAACTTTTTTTTGCATGTTACAACATAAACCATGTTACTAGGATACCATATAGGACAAGCAATTGTTGAAAGATCTAATCACACTATAAAATAGATGCTAAACAGAAGGGGAATATGAGGACCATCAGGCATAATGCCTTACTAACTTTAAATGTTTTTAAATGCTAATGAAACAGGAACAACAGTGAGTTATGAAAAGAATTGCTGAATCAAGTAGGCCCATGTATTATAAATGTTTTAACATCAAAATAGTTCAGGGAATGTGAAGGCAATATGAAGGCCTAGACTTGACTATACAGACTCCATCTTAGGGAAGGACCACCATCTTAGACCACCTGGTTATTGGAGGCTGTACTCAGTTCCAGGAAGATTCTCAGGAATGTGCCATGACTGCTTGAACAGAAATCCTAGAAGCATCCAATTAAGAAATTGGTCAGTAAAGTTTAAAAGATCAAGATAGTCCTGCAGATATCCTATCTGCAGTTTATGGCCCTTACAGATATCCAGATAATCCTGTCAACAGATTGTGGTTCCACGCCAAAAGTTTAACCCAATAGTTTCAAATGTGGTTTGTTGTTGAATGTCTAGACCAATAGTTTCAAAAAATCGCCTTGCCCTATATCCCTTTTACCCAATCTCAAAACGCCAAGGCATGTAATTCCCAGCTTGTGGATTTTTCCTTTAAAAACCCTCCTACCCCTGAGCCCCTGGCTGCTGCCTCCATCTGCTGAGTCAGAGCATAGAGTAATGGTCTGTGTTTGAACCTGAAAATAAAAAGACCCATGTGTGCTTGCATCAGAAACCGGCTCCTTGGTGGTCTCTAGGGGATGTGAGACATGGGCACAACATTTGGTTCGTTGTCTGGGAACCCCCCCCCCATCCCCTGACTCTGGACTGGAGGGTCTGCCTGTCTGTCTTGTCTGTCTGTGTTTAGTTTCGTGCATTCCTAAGTCAGTGATTGTGGTCGGGAATGGTTAAGGTCAGATGTGTCAGAGAATTGTGATCACAAGGAGCTAGATGTTCCAGACTCCTACAGTGGGGATAGAGAGCCCCACATCTGTTTGATCTGCATGGCATTTGGATGCACAAGTGTGTCCCTCCCACATGGCAGCAAGCCATCATTCTGTTTGACCCTCCGCTTTCAGTCTCATTGGGGCAAGCTTTCCTCTTGTGTCCTTGGTCTCCTGTGGTGTGTGTTTCTATGTATCTGTGTTTCTGACTGCGACAAACGCTATAGGACAGACACTTCTCTGGACTTATTCTTAACTTATTACTGAGATGTTAACACACATGGTCATAATCTTTTGGTTTTGATTAAAAAGTCTAAACTCGTCACCTCTTGCAGATCAGAATGGCTGGCACTCAATGTTTGCTGGCCTCCCAAGGGAACCTTCCACCTAGCCCTTATTGGGGCAGTAGAGGAGATTGTCTTCAGACCATGAGTGGGGCACTCCAACCAAGTGCCCTACATAGTGGCCTGGAGGGACCTGCTAGAGGACCCCCCTTCCTAGGTTAAACCATTCCTGCCCCTACAGGTTAAGGTCATGACTGCTGCTGAGAAAGACGTAGCCTCCAAGGCCCCTTCAGCTCCTAAGCCGGAGGTCCTTGAAGGAGGCAGCACAAAGAAAGAGATCTTTCCTCTGCCCCACCTCCTGTTATGTCCCCAATCCTGGTGCAGCCATCCCACTACCAGTCCTCCCACCCCCCGTCAATCCAGCTGGGTCCTCCTCCTCTGTCCCTGAATGCTCCCTCCCCTGGAGCAAGAAAGGGACCGACTCACGGGATGCATAGTTGTAGGAGAGATACCCCTAATCCTGGCACAACAGTCCTTCACCTTAGGGCAGCAGGACCTCCCCACTAGGATAGGAATCATATCACACCACTACTGACATTTTGCCACTAGTGATCTTTACAATTGGAGAGCCCCAAATGCAATCTTCTCAGAAAATTCTAAGGAACTGATTACCTTCTTTGAAACAACTCTCTTCACCCACCTCCCCACATGGGACGACTGTAGGCCATTTTTCAGATCCACTTCATGATGGAGGAGAGAGACTGCATACAGACCAAGGCCTGGAAGCTGGTTACAAGTGCTACTGGAGAGCCTACAGCTAACCAAGCTCTCATAGATGTGGCTTTCCCCTTGATTCACCCAGTGTGGGACTATAACATAGCTGGAGATAGGGAGAGACTCCTGGTCTATCGCCAGACTCTGTTGGCAGGTCTCAAGGCAGCCACAAGGTGACTTGCAAATCAGAGTAGGGTCTACAATGTTAGACAGGGAGCAGATGAAAGCCCAGCATTGTTCCTGGAGCGCCTCCAGAAGGCCTTAAGAAGGTATATGCCTTATGATTCTGAGTCCCAGGAAAATGCCCCTGCAATGATCCTGGCCTTCATTAACCAGTCAGCTCCATATATCATGAGAAAGCTACAGTGGCTGAAACGCCCCAGAGAAAAAAGCATTAGGGATTAAGTAGAGGTGGCTGAGAAAGTGTATAATTGAAGAGATAGTGAGGAGAAGAAGGAAATCAAAAGGGAGTGGTGCAAGAATTGGCACCTCACTGCTGTGCAGCTGGCTGCTACTGCAGAACGAGAAGAGTGCCAAAGGAGACTGCAGTGCCTTACGTTGGAGAGGAGGATATAAAAAACAGAGGTAAGAAAGAAAGGCCCCAGGTGGGAAAGAATCAATGAGCATACTGTAAAGAGGTAGGGCACTGGGCCAAAGAATGCTGCCAAAAGTCAGTAAAATATGGATAGTGATTAGGGAAGACAGGGTTCGGCCCCCTTCCCTGAGCCTAAGGTAACACTTAAGAGTGGAGGGGAGACCAATTGACTTCATGGTGGACACGGGAGTTCAGAACTCAGTGCTGCTGAGGGCTAATGACCCATGACTATAGACAAAATTCTAAATGGTCTTATTAAATAAGAAGCAGCCAAATATAGAGTTAAACCCAAAGAGATCAGAGCACTAACCAAGAGCCAAGACTACCTTTAGCTTACCACTCACTACCGTCCTTCCTCTGAGAGAGACCTTCTTCCTTGTGGTATTTTAATTGTGCTGAAATATGATTTTATTTGTACGTTAATAAATAAAGTTTGCCTGGAGATCAGAGGTCATTAGTGAGCCAGGAATAGAAGTCAGGTGGTGGTAGCCCATGCCCTTAATCTGATCACATGGCAGGCAGAGTCTCTGTGTGGTCAAGGACACAGCCAAGCATGGTGACCCTTGAGTTTTTAATCCCAGTACCAACCATAGAGGCCAGGAGATCTGTATAGACAGGCAGTGATGAGGAAAGTCATGTGGCTGGGCTTACAGCTAATGAGAAGGCAGAACAGAAAAGCAATAAAACACAAGACACACAGGAAGAAAGTCTCTCAGGGGAAGGATGACAGCAAGTGGTAAGCTAAAGGTTTGTCTTGGCTCTTTGCTAGTGCTCTGATCTCTTGGGCTTTAACTCTGAAAAAAAAAATTCTGGGCTACATGCTGCTTTGATGGAAGCATAAACCCACTGCTTCCTAGAGTTGGTGGGAGCATGGTTCCCAGAGCTGGCTGTAAACATAGTTTTGCAATGTTGGGAAGCTAAGATGGGCAGAAATGCTGCAGTTTAAAGCAATAGATTCACAATAAGACAGATTCAGATGGGATAAACCTCTAAATGGTTTACAATGTGTGTAAAAATGTACGTAGGCTTGGAAGAGAAGAAAAAGTAATATATGCAGTTATATATAGAAATAGATAGTTTGAAAAAATAAAGTCTTCAAAGAGAAAGTAAAAGTAATATAAAAACTAAGCCACATAAAGATGGATATCACACAGAGAATCTGGATTGTGTTGTCTCTGGGATTTTTAACTATGGAGAGACATTTGATTGTAACGGCTGCTGAGTTAAACCAATATGTATATTTTAAAGATACCTTGACTTCAAAATTTGGATGTAAGGATATATTGCTTTGGAAAGGAGGCTCTGCTTTTGTTTCCACAGAAAGCAAAGGCTATGGATTTGTTCCAGATTAAGATATATCAGGTTTGACCAGCCAAGACCCCCTGAAAGTTCTCTGATGACACCATGGCCCAGATGATCCAACATCCAGAACAGTTTCAAGGCAATTGACTCAGACAATACAGCCTCACGGACTACCTAAAATAATCTTAAAATTTTCTTTATGTACCCATAAGAATACAGTGCCCTCATCTAGCAGGAAGTAGTATGAAAAGCTACGCCCAAATTCCCAAATATACCAAGCTGGCTTTGGAGATGGAATTGGCTCACTCTTTCTCTAAACCCAAGCATATTTGCATATAAAAAAAGTTGATCAGAAGAGTGCTCTGGTGTGCAACAGAGGAAAACCAATATTTTTATTTAAAGCAAGGCGATTATAAATGCAATCTCTAAAGAAGAAAAGGGGATAGTGTAGACGTGGAAGGATGAAAGGTTATATTAACAAACCTACTTTTAGAGAACAGCAACTTGTTCAGAAATGTTTTACATTGCTATGATTTTAGTTTATTGATACAAGTTTAAACTTAATTTTGTTATACTGTATAAAAACTTTCTACTCTTGTTTGAAGTATTATGTTTATGCAACTCATTTAGATTGTAATGGATAGTTTAAAAATACAGATTAATAACTTGTCTTCTAAAATAGTCAAACTTATAGTCATGTTAAGTTTTTTAGGTATACATAGATATAATTCAATTAGGTAGGTAATCTTCAAACACTTCAAAGACCTACAGAATATGGCATTTAAAATGTTTTAAAAATTTAGACTTTCTGGACGGTGAGACATGTCTGCTCCTGGCTGCAATGATTTACTTCAGAGAGGAGGATGGGCATCGAAGACACTCTATATAGAGTTTATCTTCTTCTTAACAAAAATATCCATTTGAGCAAGAAACTTTTTTTCTGGACTGCTTGATTGATTGGACATGCAGGACTCATAGGAAGGTGACCACTGAACTTTGCTTGACAAAATGGTCCTTCAGGTTCCTGCTTGACAGAGGAAACTGCCAGACATTCTACAGGACACAGAAGTGACTGAAAGACCTGTAGGCTGAAGACAGATGCCCCAACTTTACAGAGGAACTTTGGATGACTGTCCAGGCTACCAGCTCTCTCTCTCTACTATTGCAAGACTTCCGAAAGTTGTTTGCATCCTTCTCCTGTTTCTCAGGTAATATTATATCCTTCTGAGGTCTTTGATGTAATTGAAGACTAGATAGTTATAATTTCCTTAGTTATGATAAAAGATAAGTTAGATATGAAACCTTAGACTCACAAATATAAGATAGATAGGATATCTTCTTTAATTTTGCCAAATACAAATAGACTAGGTATTATAACTGTAATTCTTGCTTGATAATTGTTTTGTCATATGTAATTTACTATGTTAAAGTTAAAGCCTTCCTTTTTGAAAAAAAGAAAAGGGGAAGTGCTGTGGGATGTCTGTATGCTCTGAATGTGTTACTGATTGATTGATAAATAAAATGCTGATTGGCCAGTAGCCAGGCAGGAAGTATAGTGTAAGAGATATAAGGAGAGAGAAAAATTCTGGGAAGTAGAAGGCTGAGTCAGGAGTTGCCAACCAGACACAGAGGAAGCCAGATGTAGAAGTACCGGTAAGCCACAAGCCATGTGGCAACTTAGAGATTAATAGAAACGGGTTAATTTAATATATAAGAACTAGATAACAAAAAACCTGCCATGGCCATATAGTTTATAAGTAATATAAGTCTCTGTGTGTTTACTTGGGTCCAAGCACCTGCAGGACTGGCGGGTGAGAGGGATTTGTCCTGACTTTGGGCCCGAGCAGGACTGGAGAAAATTCCAGCTACCCATGACAGACAAAAAGACTTGGGTTCTGAGTGCCACCAGAGTCATACCTTATTCATGGACTACCCAAAGAACAGTAGACTTGGGAATGGGCCAGGTAAACCATTCATTCCTGGTAATTCCAGAATGCCTATACACCTTGTTAGGCCATGATTTACTGACCAAAATGAAAGCTCAGATATATTTCTCTAATGAAGGAGCCAAATTGCTTAATGAAAAGGGGAAACCCATCCATGTACTGGTGACCAGTAGTTTGACTGAAGAGTACAGGCTACATCAGGTAGCCACTGAGCCTGACTTGTAGCTGGACAAATGGCTACAGGAATTTTTATTGGCCTTGACTGAGTCTGCCCATACCCCATTCCCCTAGAGGTCAAAAAGGGCATCACACTACATAGCAGGAGGCTACTGAACTTAGGTGTCCTCAGGCCTGTGCAGTGAGCCTGGAACACACTCCTGTTGCCCATTAAGCAGCCTCATACCAATGATTACAAACCAGTCCAGGACTTGAGGGATATCAACAAGAGGGTGATTGACATACACCCCACAGTGCCTAACTCATACAGCCTACTGAGCTCATTGCCCTCAGACCAGCAATGTTATACTGTCCTGGACTTAAAGATACCTTTTTCAGTCTGCCTCTGGCCCCTAAAAGCCAACAGTTCTTCACCTTTGAATGACATGACCCAGAGGTCGGGATCAGTGGCCAGCTGACATGGACCAGACTGCCACAAGGATTCAAGAACTCCCCCACCATTTTTGATTAAGTTTTGCATGAAGACCTGGGTGAGTACAGGATGCCCCATTGACTGACACAGAAGTGACCTGGTATGCTGACAACAGCAGCTTTATGAAGGATGGTCAGAGGTATGTGGGGGCGGCAGTCACCACTGCAGAGGAAGTGATATGGGTGGAGCCAATGCTAACTGGGATGTTTGCCCAGTGGGCGGAGCTGATAGCCCTAACTAAGGCATTAGAACTGGGGCAAGGGTGGAAGGTTAATGTCTATATTGACAGTCAGTATGATTTTGTCACAGCACATGTCCCTGGGGCAATATACAAAGAATGGGGACTACTAACCACAGAAGGAAAAAATTACTAAAAATATAGACAAGATCCTGGCCCTCCTTAAAGCCCCATGGCTACTCAAGAAACGGGCACTCATTCATTGCCTGGGGCACCAGAAAGGCGATGGACCTACCGCCAGGGGCAACAGTCTGGCTGACAAAACGGCCCAGCAGGTGGCACTCCAGACTGAGATAGTCTTTGCACATGTACTGGTGGACCCAGGAACACCTAATCTGCTGGAAAGTTCTGAGTATACTAAGGAAGACATTGTCTGGATTAAGACTCTCCCTATGACTCAGTGTCTACACGGGTGGTGGAGGACTGCAGACAGTAAAATCATCCTGCCTAAACATCTGGGAGAGAGGCTATTCAACAAGATCCACTGATCCTCTCATACGGGAACATGGAGAATGCAGGACTTGGTTAGATAGTTGGGAATAAAAATCAAAGATGTACTACAAAAAATTGTAAATAATGTCACCAACTACAAGTCTTGCCAGCTCACCAACACAGTGACCAACCCCCAAAATCCAGGAACCAGGCTCAGGGGCAAGAAACCAGGGGAAATAGACTTCACTGAGGTAAAATCTGGAAAGTATGGCTACAGCTGTTTATGAGTGTTTACAGATTCATTTTTCTGGATGAACTGAAGCAAACCCCACAAATTATAAAATAGCGCAAGAACCTCCTAGATGATATCTTACCCAGGTATGTTTTCCCAACTAATAGGGTCAGACAATGGACTAGTTTTTGTGTCCCAGATACCAGGCGTGGAATTGGGTATATGTGAAAAGGCACTGTCAGGGGCCATTGCAATTTACGTGGAAGGGACCCTACATTGTTCTGCTGATCATGCCCACTGCCATCAAGGGTGACTACATGGCTACCTGGATCCACTATACCCACACTAGGTCAGCTGATCCTTTCACACCCAGGGAAGATTACTGGGGCAAAGGATGCAAAGCTTCAAGGGATCCAGACAACCCTCTCAAGCTCTGGGTGTGACACAGGCAGTAACATGGCTCCTGATGATTCTACCCACCAGGACTGATCTGTGGGAAATCCACACATGCCTTGGAATCAGACCTGGATGGTTGTGAATGCTGAGACAGGAGCCATTGCTAACAACATCTCTTCAACACCCCCAACCCAACCCATACACACATAGTTCCTTAGTGGATTTATGTGACCTAGTAGGGGAAAACTGAAACCCATTCAACCAGGAACCATTTCCAGGATACAGTTGCAATTCCCTAAGTCTGCCTACTGTGCCACCTGGGGGTGTGAGTCCATGGGATGGATTAAATGGACACATCCTATACGGGGAGATCTAATTACAGTAGCCTGTGCAGGAGACATGAAAGCACTAGGGACAAGAGTATGCACTGTGGGCCAGCAGCAAGTTGACTGTGGACCATATTATGAGAAGGAGCACTTCCCTGAATACCCATAGGCCACCAGCAGGGGGCACTGCAACTCATTAGTCATCAAATTCACTGACCAAGAAAAGAAAACAGACTGGACAACCGGTAAACTTGGGGACTGAGGCTTTACCGCACATTCAAACACCATTATGGGTGGTGATAGGGCCTAATCAGATAATAAACCCACCATCAGCCGCCAAACCTCAAACCCCTGGAAAGTATGGTAAGTCTTGACACCCCACAACCATCAGATATATCAGTGTTTTTGGCCTCCAGGACCCCAGTAACCAGCCCGACTGCAACCAAGGGAGGAGATCCTCTTCAGGAGCTCCTCAATCAGTCATTTCTGGTTCTAAACTCCACCTAACTTGACTGCATCTTGTTGGCTCTACTATGATACAGCCTCCTGCCCTCCCCCATATTATGAAGGAAGGAATTGTCCTTGTGGTTAACTATACCGAAGTCACTGATCCTAACCAGTGCTTCTGTCAGTCCAAGGCATCGCTGACCCTTCAGCAAGACATAGGCCAGGGCCTCTGTGTAGAGACAGTCCTCCAAGGGCAACAAACTCTTTGTAACCAAACCCTTGTACTCCCAAACTCCCAGATTTATCTGAATCCCCACAGTGATGCATGGTGGGCTTGTTCCATGGATTTAACACCCTGCATTCATACCCAAGTTCTCAAAAATACAAAAGGCTCTGTTTGATGGTACTGCTTGTCCCAAAGCTAATTTACCATACAGAAGAAGAGCTACTCTACAAGTTAGAAACTGCATCCCCAAAATGTATTAAGAGAGAGCCCATGGCAGCTCTCACTCTGAGTATCCTGCTGTGAGCCAGCCTGGCTAGTTTAGTAAATGGGACAGCACCCCTGATCACTCAGAGCCAGCACTATTCCAGCTTACATTCTGCCATAGATATAGATATAGAGAGATAGAGATAGAGATAGATAGATAGAGATAGAGATAGAAAGGTTAGAAAGCTCCATCTCCCATCTCTAAGAGTCTCTGACATTCTTAGCTGAGGTTGTAATGCAGAACAGACAGGGCTTAGATTTGATCTTCCTTCAGCAAGGAGGACTGTGTGCTGCTTCTATGTAGACCACTTAGGAGTAGTCAAGGAATCTATGGCAAATGTAAGAGAAGGACTGGCTAAGAGAAAGGGAGAGAATGAGGCCAGCCAAGTGCTATGGAATGGTCTGTATGTCAAATCTGTTGCTCTGATTGGTCAATAAATAAAACACTGATTGGCCAGTGGCCAGGCAGGAGGAAGTATATGCAGGACAAGGAGGAGGAGAATTCTGGGAAGTGGAAGGCTGAGTCAGAGAAACTGCCAGCCGCCACCATGACAAGCCGCATGTGAAGACACTGGTAAGCCACAAGCCACGTGGCAAGGTATAGATTTATAGAAATGGATTAATTTAAGCTACAAGAACAGTTAGCAAGAAGCCTGCCACGGCCATACAAGTTGTAAGCAATATAAGTCTCTATGTTTACTTGGTTGGGTCTGAGCAGCTGTGGGACTGGCGAGTGACAGAGATTTGTCCTAACTGTGGGCAAGGCAGGAAAACTCTAGCTACAGCCAAGGATGGTTTGAGTCCTGGTTTAATTCATCCCCATGGTTAACTACCTTGATTTCTACCCGGTTAAGACCCCTCCTCATATAAGTTTTTCTTCTCACCTTTGGGCCTTGCATATTGAACAAATTAGTACAATTTATGAAAAAAGTCTAGGAGCTATTCAATTAATGTTAATGAGATCCCAATACTAACTGCTGTTAGCAGAAACCGGGGAGGCCTTGGTGGAGTTATGGGACATGACAGTCCCATGATTGGGACCCTCAGGGTCCAGTCAGAGGGGGGAATATGAAGGCAATATGAAAGCCTAGACTTGACTTTACAGACTCCATCTTAGGGAAGGAACACCATCTTAAATCTCCTGGTGACTGGAGGCTGTACTCAGTTCCAGGAAGAATCTCAGGAATGTGCCGTAACTACTCGAACAGATACCCTAGAAGCAGCCAATTAAGAAATAGGGTAGTAAAGTTTAACAAGATCCAGACATTCCTGCAGATATCCTGTCTGTGATTTATGGCCCTTGCAGATATCCAGATAATCTTATCAGCGGGTTACATTTCCACACCAAAAGTCTAACCCAATAGTTTCAAAAAATCACCTTGCCCCATATCCCTTTTACTCAATCTCAAAATGCCAAGGAATGTAATTCCCAGCTTGTGGATTTTTTTTCCCTTTAGAAACCCTCCTACCCCTGAGCCCCTGGCCACTACTGCATTTCCCTCCATCTGCTTAGTTGGAGCATAGGGTGGTGGTCCAGGTTCATACCTGAAAATAAAAAGACCCTTGTGTGCTTGCATGGGAAACTGGCTCCTTGGTAGTCTCTGGGTGATTTGAGACATGGATACAACAGGAAAGTGTTAAGTTAGGGTTGACATTATGATTATGTTTCCACAGGAGATAATAAATTGTGGATCCCATCAAACTTGATAAAAATTCACATGAGCAAGTGACATCTCCAAGATACTTCAGAAGCAGAGATATCTCTGTCAAACTTGATGCACAGGAGACTTTTGGTGCAAACAACTAATCCTCTCAGCCGGGGACAGCTTATGAATTTGTGTGACAAAGGAGTGACAATACTTCACATGATTCACAAGCCTCTAAATGCTACAAACTTATTTCTTGCCATGCTCTCCATGGTAATAGTGCAGGTAAAAGGGATGGATCATAATTATTGGGCTTTTATCCCCAATACTTCAATTAACATAGCAGTAAGTTGGGGAGATATGAATATTCCTGTAGTGGTTAATGAATCTTCTTGGCTACCTGGGCCTTATGACAACTGAGGTCCTCCTAAGTCAACAGAGGAGGGTAAAATGATTGACAATTAGACTGTTGGAGTATATTTGCATGAGAAATAGAATTCAGTGCTTAAATATAACCTCTCAAGTATGGCTATCCATAGACAGTACTACCTAAGATTATCTTAATAATCTTATATGCTTTGTGCATCTCATTTTAAAGGACAGGAGATTAATGCTACTAGTTCTGTAAGTCTACTGTCCTGTGAGATGAGGGTTACCAACAAGGTATCTGACCGGGTACATTGGCGACAATGTAAGAGTGAGAAACCTTGAAACCTTGAGTGCTAATTAATATCTCCTGAGGAGACATCATTGACTGGAGTTCTTACGGCTCCCCTCAAGGAAAATATTCCCACATAGAACTAAGATGGAAACCGTATAATTTGAATGGAACAGTGGAAATCAGTGCTTCTGCTAATGAACCTATTTGGTGGCATGGAGTTGGAATGGCAAGTCCTCTTCTGCAGTTTGGCAATAGAATTCAGACTGACCTGTGGAAATTGGCAAGTGCTTTCTACCCTCTTAAGGTGTGAGAAAGAAAATGAAACATTAAGGATGATAAGTACACTCTGTCTTTTAGACTAAATCAAAGCCATCCTTTTATGGCATATGTACCATTACTGTAGATGCTAACATGGACCATGAGAGACTAGTTCCCATGATCAGCTTAGAGTAATACAAGGAATTGTAGATGTATCTAATTGTCTTATTAAATAAGAAACACAGAAACAATGTAAAAGAGAAAGCCGAGAGGTCAGAGCTCAGAGCTAAAATCTCACCCTTCCGCCTGCGGTGTCCCAGCTTCCCGAAAAGAGGCCTACTTCCTGTCTTGTGAATTGACAGAAACAGCCAGCTGCCTGGGCAGTCACCTGAGGTTTCTCCGAAGTGTTGGGGCATCATGTTCAGCCTATAGGCTTAGTGTATCTGACAG